CCCCCCCCCCCCCCCCCCCCCCCCCCCCCCCTCTGATTACCGTAAAAGTACACTAGTCATATGCGTCTAGGGAAACAAAGTGGGAAAAATCTCCTGTGGAGGACAAAGAGGCGAAAAGGAAGGACGACCCCGTTCTTCACAAAGTGGTTCGAGAGATAAACCCAATTTGCGTCATACTTTATCACCTTCATCACAGTCCACGAAATACGTGGTAGTGATCCACTTCAAGCGTTGAGTGGTGCATTATCGAACACACGGTTGAATGACGTGACTAGAAGCACTGTCTTTGACGCGCCGTATATCCTCCCCCATTTACCATGTGACATTCAATCCCTTGGCGAATTGCTGCTGCGGGATGCATCGAGGGACGGGTAACCAGCCGTAGATGATTCGGTAGAGTCAAACGACGGTGGTTGCCACTTCTGGTCCAGGCGTAATCTCGCGCTCGGGAGGTTCAACGAATTGGGTCCTATTCAAGATACAGCCATGAACATTCTTGGAAACTTTTCTCGACCTTTTAAAATGCTCTAAATTTAGAAGGTAGAAAAACAGCCGGCGCCGGGACCCTCATGCAGCCGAGTCTCTCCTGGTCTAGTTGGGAGTAATACCATCCCTTGTGGAGGAAGTTGGAAGTAATACTCTCAACTGTCCCTCCCTTCTTCTAGTGGGAATAGAATTCTCTCTACTGTTTCTAGCAGCTGATTCATTCTTCTCTTGCTCCGATGTTACGTGTTCCAAGAAAAAATCTTTGGGTAAAATGTTTCATCACATTCGGATCTATCTCCGAGTTACCTCCCCAGGAGAATAGATACAGCCTCCCTGGGGTTAAATTACCTCTTCGGGGGAATGCACTGTAGAATTCCTATATCTTCCCCGAAGGCAGCAGCAATCAAATTGCGGTCTACTCGGGTCTACTACGACATAATAAAAATTTGCTTTTACGAGTTCAACTTTACGGAAATGTAGGATATATTTGAATGCCCACTCTATGTCGACCAAAGCATCCACGTGGCCCTCACATCGAAAAGTTTGGAAACAGCTACACTCAGGTGTCTGTGGGTAAAGATCGGGAATCGTGTACTGGGAAGTACTGGGGAGTGATTCCACCTGTATCAGGTAGTGACTAGCTAGCATAGGTGATTTAGACATCATCTCGCTTCGATTGCGCGAACATTGTTTGTTCGGGCAATTGCTACGTGGCTTCGTGACCATGACATTACAGTAGTCCAAAAGTATACAAAGGTTATCTGCTATCTGTCACAGTGTTAGCTAATGTGGCGCGTGGATCGGAGCTGACGGAGTTCGAACGCGGAATGATACCTGTATTTGCATTGTCATATCGTCCGTCCTAATACGTTTGGCAATATAGTGTATTTCACTTGGTGGTGAATATGCAGAATGACGATAATGGAGAATGTTTGGTATCAATCGAAATATGAGAGATTCGGTTTCGGTTGCATGCATTACTTTCTGCACACTCCTCGTACAACAACATAGACAGGTGGTATCACAAAGCATATTACTTTTCTACGAAGTTAGACGCTTGTTACTAATCTGATGCACGAGTAACGATTAGTCATTTTGTCGTAGGATTGAATTTTCATGGATTTTCACAAATTCGAGCTCCGATCAGTGATCGAGTTTTTTTTTAATAATCAATGGGAGGTTTAGAATATTCATATGCGAATTTTGAACGTTTATGAGGATCCTTCGCCTTCCCACGGCACAGTAAAGAAGTGGGCACTTTAATTCCGACGAGGACGACTATCGATCGAAGACTATCCTCGCTCGATGGTAGTGAACAATTTGCTTAAAGTGTCGACATTCTTGACACTCACCCTATATGCCCCATTGCGGTACCGCTACGAGCCTGTGCTGCATCACTGGGGGGATCGTGATCCATGGAGAGGAGCCGGAGAAATTTGAGACAGGGGGCCCTGATCGTGTACGACGATGCGGAAGCGGACACAGCCGATGTCGCACGGAGGGTCTTCCTTGGGGCCGGCTTCCACCGATTGCCGTTCCCACCTCATTCACCCGACCCGACGCCCGGTCGCTTTTAATCTTGCGACATCCAAAGGAACACCAGAGTAGGGAAAGATTTAGGGATGGCGATGCGGTGAAGCGCGAAACTGTAGGGCAGTTTGGCGAATTTCGGGAAGGATTCCTTTCAGATGGGCATAAAGATGCTAAAGGGACGATGAGCGAAGTGTATTCTTATGAAGGGTGACCATGTTAAAAAAAAATCAGAATTAAACTACTGTTGACAAGTCACCGCATCGTGGTCAGGTCGTGAATCCATCGGGCGACCCTCGTAAGGGCCCGCGACGAGCGAAGTAACATATGACTGCGGATCCGGAATCGATCCAATCGCGAGGTCTCTGCGTGGAATCGAATAAATGGGCTCCGAGGAGTTTCCGGGCTTCCGTTGATGTGGACCGTTTCACTTCGACGGGACGACACTTCGTCATCCGGAAGTCTCTGGAATCGACGGATGGATTCCGAGCCATCGATGGTGGAGTCAAGCGACAGACTTCCAAGGAGGAAAACGAAGGGAAGAGAGATGTGTCGTACAGTACGTAGAAGGAGCGAATGGGATTGCATAAGGCCGGGTTCATACTCATGATACATCGCATGTTGGATGCTGCAACTGCATGCTGTACTGAAAATTTTAATCCAGCATGTCCAACTGCAGGACTGCAATCCTACAATGCATCTAGAAAAATGCTATATAATAGCTAGATGCTGCATGTTGTTCGGCGCGAAGTTCGTGCTGCACAGCAGATACAGCACTGCAACTGCTGTACTGCATGCTGGATTGAATAGAAACAGTTATTTTTTTTAGGATGCAATAGAATATGCAGTGCAGCAGATGAAGTGCTGCGTCTGCTGAATGCAGCGTGCAGTTTTTGCCGTCCGTCAATGGATTGCTCCTGTGTACGAACGTCGGGCATGCGGTACAATTGCAGTACCAGGAGCATGAACTCGACCTAATCGCGCAGTGCGGCGGATGGAAATGGACACGGACTAGCGTCATGGAGCGGGGAGACCCGACGCGATAGAGAGAAAGAGAGAGAGAAAGACAGGGAGGTTTAGATGCGAGAGACGTGAATCGTCAGTCGCTTCGTGTCTGGCCTGGTCGTCAGGTGTACGTTTATTTGCTCTCTCTCGGCCGGCGTTTTCGTCGTCATGGCTACCCTGGGTGAATTGGAATGGGGCGACGTAGTCGTGATCGTCGTCTATTTCATCATTGTGATCGGCGTCGGAATCTGGGTACATCCGCATTCTTGTCCTTCCTCTCCTTCGCATCGTTTTCCATCGTTTCCGTCACCGTGTCGGAATTCCGGAAGGCACCCCTCTCCGAACTGGGGTGATCACGTGACAAATCGGATTCATATTTCCTCCTGTCGATGGAACCACGTGGAAATCGGGGCAGATAATAGATCTCTGGTCCTGCACCATATATGTCATACATGAACTACATGTGCGTTTCAGTGTAAAAGAGCGGATAATCATGAAATGAAATCATTATATTTAAAGGTAATTTTGAAACATGCTGGAATAAATATGAAACCCCACCTTTAAATCAAGAATATGCAGAGCTTCTTTCAAAGTGCGAGGATGTTAAAACGCATGTGGGAATTGTGAAATGATGAGGGATTTCTATCACGACGAGATATTTTCATTAATTCGTTATAAATTTTTTTTAGATGCAAAGCGTGAAGATTTATTCAGGATTTTCTGGAAAACTTAGGAAAAAACTGGCTTCTAGTATACAGGCTAGATCGATGTATGATAGATCTTTTACCGACGTCATTGTAGGATTTCATTTTTAAGTAAGAAAAAAGTAGGCACGATCGAGTAGATCGAACTTCCTCGGTAGCGACGAGGAAAAAGGAAAGCGAAAGCCTGAGGGTCCTTCGATTGCTGAAACCACAGCTCTTCTCTTTTTATTTTATCCTGGGCAAGGGCAAGGTCAAGGGCATGGGCATGGGCATGGGCATCACGATTCACAGATGGCTTTTTTTACATGCAGGTAGCCTCGCTATCACAGATATGAAACGGTCTCATCTCGATCCTCGGTGACGGAAAGATTCGGATTCCTTATCCGAAACGGACCTATTAATAATGGTTTCTGTAATATGATCGGCATTCGCTCACTTTTTTAAAATTTTAATCTCCTTCCTTGTTGGCTCTCTTATGCTTCAATCGCTTTCAAGCTTCACCCTTCATCAGATTGAACGCATTCCCGATTTCCCTCCCTTCCACGGATTTTCTAGGGTGACAAAATAATTTTTTTTATTTTAAACTTTTTTTTTCAAGACTTTTTGTGTTCCGAAATCGCTCACAAAAGCCTATTTCAAAATTACTCCGAAGGAAAACAGTTGGATTATAACGAATACAGAGCTTGGTTTCCATGACGTGGATTCCAGTCCCTCCACACCTTCGAGACTTCTTTTGAACTCATTTCTCTCTACGGAGACGACCGGTTCTTTGCTTCGGCCTTTCTAACTGTTAAATGCTATCGCCGGATGAGCTTCCTTCCCCTACCCCTTCTGCGCAATTGATAAGGCAATGATACCTGCGTGGGGATACAGAGAATCCTGAATCAGGTTTTCCTGCCCTTCAGGGCTGTATTTTCCGCGTAGTGTCCTCTCTCACTCGCTTGCACCCCGGTTATGCAAGTCTATTGCGCGTCCTTGGGGAATGTGGAGCAGCTTCGCATTTGCGTTATCCGGTCTTTCGATCCCCTATCTGGCTGAAACTACAGTTCCTCGATGCGATAAGGGGACTTCCGCACTCGAGGCAGAGGCTACCTGTCTTCCTTCCGTCTGGGAAAAAACAAGACCCGACGCCCACTCTCTCGGCTTCCCCCGCGCCCGACTCTCTCCGTCTCTTTCGCGGGGATCGGTTCTCGCCTCGAAGAGCGAGGGCAGACGACGGAGTGTCAACTCATCCGATTTTCCTCACCGTCGATGAGATGCAGCTCCGTTCTCGTTGGCAACAGGGAAAGGTTGGAGGCTTTGGAGCAGGGATTGCTGCTCGTATTTTCAATGGGCACATGATGTCAACTCGATCCAGTCACGAAAAGGGAAATCCGATCGGAATACCAATGCACTCACCCTACGTTCCAAGAAACACTTGAAATGAAAATCACTCATGGGGAATTCCGAGTCTGTCTGGAAGTTTTTTTTTTTCTTACCATCGTCCTCGACATGAAATAAATGGGGATGAAATGGTTACGCACAGTATATAGTATATAGTACAGTATATATACTAAGGAAAATAGGCCAGTTCATAGCGGTACTGGTAAAATCTGTAAACCCTGAATGTTTCCATGAAGCACAACTTTTGACGAATCGAAGGAGCAGAGTATCATCCTTCATCCCAAGTAGCACTGAACTGAAACGTTAAAGGAATGTTTATTGAATATAACAGGGGTGGCCAAGCCGCAGTTTCTGTGCAGTTCTAGCGTTGCTCGCGGTGAAATCCTCTCGACTCTAGAGTCTACTCAGGCATTCTCTGCGGCAGAGCTCCCACAAAAAGTCGACTGGGCATTTTTCCTTCCTGGAAGATGACGACTTCATGGCGAAGATGGAGTTCCTGAGTGACATCTTCGGCCACCTGAATGCTCTTAATTTCCAGTTACAAGGCCGCGATAAAACCTTCACCGACCCAATCGAGAAGTTGGAAGCTTTTCGTCGGAAGAAGTCGGAAGAAACCGAGCATCTTCCTCGCTGACCTCAGATCCGGAAAATGTCTGCCCTTCAACCGACTGCAGTTAAATCCCTGGCACCAGATATCCAGAAAATGACTGCTAGTGGAAAGTGCAACTTTTCACACTGAGAGAAGCCTTGAGATAGCCGGGTCTTCTCGGGCTAGAGGGAGGGCTTTCGTTGGTCGGATCTGGCCCGCGGGCCGCTAGTTGCCGACCACTTCTCTAGCGTCTAGAGCAGTGGTTCTCAACCTTCCTTTTACTCCCATTGAACCTTCATGCATTTGGGGGGTGACACCTCCCAGATTGAGAACCACTGGTCTAGAGAAAGCATGAGTAAAATGGTGTCATGTGGCTCTCGACTGCAATATTTTTTCATACGGCACATAAGGTCAGGTAGCTTAGCCTTCCTTGCACCTGCCATATAAAGTTCAACCAATGTGCAAGGAACGTCCTTGGTAACGTTCTATCGACTGTTCAAGTACCCGAGGCATATATTACTCAAGGACGTTCAAATTATTCGTTCCCTGAACGTTCATAAAGGCTGTGAAATGAACATACCAAAGTAGCACCAGAACATTAAAAGAATTTCCAATTTTATGGTTCAGCCAACGTGCAATAAATATCCCTGGAAACGTCTTCCTGACCGTTCAATGTTCTAAATTTAGAAAGTGACCAGATTTATGTGTCTCGAAAGTGGGACACCCGATAAATACTTCCCTTGCCTCCTAAAAAAAAATGTGAATGTAGTTGTTGCACTGAAAATTATATTTATTATTGTTGAAATATGAATTAAAACTGGTATTAGTTCTCGGGGGACACGGAGACGGGTTGTCTGAAAATGGGACGTCCCGGCTAAATCGGGACGTCTTGTCACCTTAGAAAACACAGTCCTGCCGGGGACCATCGTGCAGCAGAGTTTGTAGGATGGTAGTACTGTACTTCCAAGCATCTTTCCTATCTCCTCGTTGGACTTCAACTTCCTTCACTCCATCAGTTAATCGATTCTTTGCTCTCTTTGGAGTTACGTGTCTGAAAAGAACCTAAGGGTGTAATGTTTTATCACCCGGATCTTCCTCTTCTTAATGATTGTAGACACGCCTCACAAGTTTCACCTAAGATGCAACGATTTGCACTGGTATGTGCATCACCTTCTACCACCCTATGGAGTGAGGTTACAAGTAGAGCCATCCTACTTCTGAACCCGAATTGCCTGGAGTCTCCCTGGATTGGGTTTCTTCTTTGGATGAATGTATTCAAGAATTCCAATGCCTTCTCCTGTGGTGTCTGTGGGAAAAGGTCGGTTGCTTGAAAAGTACTGGGGACTAATTTCAGCTGTATCATTATCTTAGTGACTCGCCACATCGGCGATTTAGATGTCATCTCGCTTCGGTAGAGCGAACCTTGTTTGTTCGAGAGCCAGATGGATTTCCCGCAGCCTTGTCCGAGTAGCACAGATTATGTTTTAAAAAAGTCCAATCGAACGTTCAATGAATATCCATCAGAAACTTCAGTAAGAGTAGGATATTAGTGATCAAATTGACGACTATATCAAATGAATGACGACTTCGGAGGACTTGATGCAAAATCAGTTCTTTCACTTGCAATATACAATATTTTATCCAGGTTTTCGTGAAGTCTGGCCCACCATGACACGGGTGCTTGCGAAATTGTGCATGAAAAGCTTTTTCCTTTCTCTCCGTACAGAGTTCCATGCGGAGTAAGAGGCACAGCGTGAGCGGATATTTCCTCGCTTCTCGCAAGATGCATTTTATCCCGGTGAGTTTCTTCTTCCTCGATCACCGCGAGTCTGTTCCATGTTTCCTGCCCGGAATCCCCGTGAATCTCTTCCCCAACGAGATACTCCCGAAAAAAAAAGAAGAAAGGATGCTCGAGAGTGGCTCCAGAAATGATAAATTCCTGTTTTGTTGTCGAAATTTAACTGCGTCGGGGCTAACCTTGGAATGAACAAAGCGCTTCTTTTGTAGATACTCAAATGACCTGATCGACTGGAAAGGAATGCAGCATCGATATCCCCACCACTATCAAGGGAGTAAAAAAGAAAAAAGAAAAAAAGAAAGGCCGATTGCGCGAACGATGTTTTCCCGGTGTTTTTGGAAAATCATCGGTTAACTGATGTCTAAGACCAAACGTGGATTGCATGAACCCCTTCTTCCTTTGATCATTGTCTAAGCAATGGCTAACAGAAGCTGAAAAAGGTGTCATTTCCAGACAAGGCATGGTGCATGTTTTACTGATACTCATATCAGCGCTCCTGTGCTATCTAGATCAATACAGTGCTGCAGCATACTGGTGAAGCACAATGGATTATCTTTATGGAGTGGCTCAATATCAGTGACTCACTCGTCCTCGCGTGGGACTTATATACATCAATGTCAGGCTTAATCCCTTCGAAGAAGGTGATGAGAGCTTCCGCGTGAGCTAACGGCTTGAAAAGGCATCAGTGAATGATCTCGTCGATCTGCTTTGCTCTGAACCCAGGGGAGATTCATAAGGGGATTGAAATTCTCAGCGCAGCAGAGAGCACCTATGCAATACACATGCGCCATCTAATCATCCATTTCACAAAACCAGACGACCCGCACAGGTCATGTCATTTCCTTCCGAGTTCTCGAGGCGGTAGGTTACTCTCTCGCTCCCTCAAGCATTCATACCACTTTCGACGGTTTCCTATCGAAGAAACAGATGCACACCGACTCCATGTAGTGACTTTCCTCTGTATTCTTTTGACTTTTCTAAATATCAAAAGAGCCTTTCTCACGTAATAGCATTGAAGTTGGACTCGGAAGAATGGGAAAAAGCAGTGGCCATGCGTGTCTTGTGCGTCACAATACATGGCGGAACTCTCGCGAGAAGGAAATTTATCTTAATAAATTTTGAGCCGCAGGATTTTTCTGCACCAGAATCATGAATCAAGGAACAGAAGATGCTCGGAGGGAGGAAATAACCAAGATGAAGTTTCACTCTTAGTGATCATCTATGTAGAAAAATTGCAGAATTTCAGGTAGATGCAAGTTGCGCAACTTTAATGATCAAATGCTCCTCATCATCCGTCTCCGAGAAAATAGGATATCAAGGATTTTCTTAGGATCCCAGATGTTCAAAGCTAGCCACTGGGTCATTATATTTGTCTCTCCATAAACCATTTGCCGTCCTCTCCGCTTCATTTTACCGTTAATCTAAAAAAATTTTTACGTAATTATGCTTTCACATATTGGTAGATACTAAATAGTAATAAATAAATAAACATATGGAAAATGAGTAGCAGGGCAGACAGCTTCGCGCTGACACTTGCAGCCGTCGTTTTTCGGTGGCTACGGTCGGCTTTTGCAATGGGAAAAATCCGGTTGCGCGAAGGAGCATAGGTGCGCTCCGAGACTAGCTTCTCTCGTCCCCGCTAATGGACATACCTTCTAGGTTCAAGGCTCAAGGTTGTTTAGTGGTATCAAGAAGCGATAACACCCATTGGGATACCACGTGTCGAGGTAAAGCGTTCCTTAGTTTTAGGGTAGGCCTACTCCTCTGAAGCTAAATATTTTGTATTTTAGTTAGTTTTGTGATTTTTTTTTTGTTGCACATCCTAGTTGCTTATTGCCTAGTCCCTTAAGTCAACATTGCCCCCCTTCTTGCTTGTCCATAAAAGCATCTAGTTTCTTCTTGAAAGTAGTCACGGAAGGGGCAGCCAATACGTCGTCGTCTAACGCATTCCACGCATTTACCACTCTACAAGTAAAAAAGTCCTGTCTTAACCTGAGCCGCACCTGCGGTTTACGCAACTTGAGTTGATTACCTCTCGTTCTCTTGCTGCCGTCGAACTGGAAGAACCTACCACATTCGACGTTATCTATTCCCTTAATTATCTTGAAAGCCTGGATGAGATCACCCCTCCTTAACCTTCCCTCTCTCTCGTACAGTCCCAGTGCAGCAGCAGTACAGTTCTAAACGCTTCTCGTACGGAAGTCCCCTAACTTCCTTTATCATTCTTGTGACCCTCCTCTGTTCCCCCTCGAGTGCCAACAATTCACCCTTATTTGTAGGCCTCCAAAACTGGATGCAATATTCCAACTAGTGCCTTACCAGTGCCGTATACAACGGAAGAGTAACGCGTGAGTTCCTACTTGCAACCGAACGATGAATGAAACCTAGCATCATGTTACATTTGGCCACTGTTGCTTGCACGTGCGAGGAAAACTTGAGGTCTTCGTCGATAGAAACTCCTAGATCTTTCTCTCCGTTTGCCTCCCCCGATTTATCCTCGCCGAACGCGTCGAGAGACTTACCGTTATTTCGACCGACGTGGAGAATTTTGCATTTACTTTTATTAAACCTCAGGAGCCATTTCTTACTCCACTCATCCAAAAGACTCAAATCTCGCTCGGCTCTAGCCCTATCCGCCTCCCCCTTATAGAAAAACCTATTTTGGCGTCGTTGGCAAATTTACTTATCATACCTTCTACGCCGAGATCCAAATCGTTTATTTAGACCAGAAACAAGTGGTCCCAGGACCGAGCCCTGAGGAACCCCGCTTTCGACACCGACCTCCTTCGATGCTTTCCATTTACCATTTACCATTTACCATTTACCAATACTCGTTGCTCTCTTCCCGTCACCCAGCTACTGATCCATTCGCTCGTCCTACCCTGGATCCCGTGCGCCTCCAGTTTAACCCGCAATCTCTTGTGAGAAACGGTATCAAAAGCTTTCGCGAAATATAAATAGACGATGTCCACTGGATTCCCCTTATCCCTCTCTTTCTTCGCCCAATCGTAGAATTCGAGCAAGTTGGTTAGACAATTACGACGCTTCCTAAAGCCATACTGTGGGTCCCGGATGCTGTGTGTCCCAGATGAGCGCGTTTCCTTCGAGGAAATCCAAAATGTGGTCCCCTAGGAGCCTTCTCTCCTCGCGTCCTATACTCTCCATGTACCTTGCTCTGAACTTTAAAGGTACGAAAATCGCGGAAGGGACCTCTTCACTTTACATCGACAGATGAGAGCATTACAGCTCATTAGCCATGTATCGCGATTTCTTCACGTACTTATCCCCTGAGTAATTAATTATGTGACCCCAAAGTGAAAAGAACGTGATGAAAGCCTTTCGATTCGCAGGTTCAGCCGACCCTTTGATCGGCTGTCATACTCGAACAGAATGCCCAACCAGTTTTATGAACCGCAAAGGTTTCTATTCCATGAATGTCTGCGATGCGAAATGGATATTTATTGACATTGTCGTTAGGTGACCAGGATTCGCACCCGATTTCCGATACCCTCATTTTACACGATTCCCGGATATCCTCCTATACACACAAATAATGCACCTATTTCCCCCCCCCCCCCCCATTTCTGACTTCTCTGTGTACAAAACGAATCCTTGGCGTTACTCCTGGTGAAACACATTGAAATGCAGAATAAGGCTGATGAGAACTTACCAGTTATTCTTCTGCAAGGAGCCTGCATCATATCACTCTCTATAGCTAGATTCTCCTTTACAAGTTCTGCGAGATGTAATTTATCGCCAGAGGAAAAGTTTTTTCACCAGATTGCCCATTTTTCGCGCAGTCCGAAGGGTATTACGCGTCGGCCGAGAAATCATAACACGAGGATTGTTCATGCACTCAAAAGTGGACAGCGGTTAACCGATACTTTCGTAGACAATGTTTGAACAACGACCATCGATAATGTCTAAAATGACGACAGCGCGGCTTCCTGCTCGAGGCACCCAGAGTCCTTTTACCGATGCGACGCGCACGAAAACGCACTGTCCTTTCTACCGATACACCTGCAGGTTTTCCAACTTCGTCGAGTGCCCGACACTTTCACACGGGAATCGCCGTTCCGTGCTGCGCTTCCGTGGTGTAACGAGAGTTCATCTTTCAGAGTCGAAAACGGGGACGGGATGGGTTCCGAGGCCAACTTCGGAGAAACGACAGCGCGCGAATGCCAGCAGACTGTAGCTTTGCGCGAAAGAGAGAAGAGGCCGTATGAGAGTAAGAATGACATGGGTGTTCCCGGGTGCCGTGAAAGTGTTGCGGGAGGAAATATTGCAACACCGTCGGATGGTAGCGCCGTAGGCCGTTTTCATGGTTTCACCGACGCACGCGTTGGAATACAACGAGCTCCATGATTATTCACCAGATCTCGTACTAGCTGTATAAGTACGAGTTTCGTTCGCCGAGGTACCTCTCCTCCCCTCTCCTTTCTCTTCTCTCCTCTCGTCTCTCTCCTCCTTTCTCCTCTGACCTCTCCACTGATGTCTGATGTCGTACACCCCATGATTCAAGTGATGTTGGTCTGGCTCCGCACACGTGAGCTCGACTGTCTGCATTCACTCGTCAGACTCCCTCTTTCGTTCCGGTTCGTAGGGCGAATTCACTTCTCGTCGATGACGACTATCCGTTGCGGAAAGTCGTTTCCGCCTCTGACCTGTCGTGCAAGGCGGATCCAGGCTGCCTCCAGACGTGCAGCCTTCTCCCCTTGTTGTGGGCATGTGACACCCAACCTGCGCATACCTTGCGATTGCCCGACTTCGTGTTTGGGATTCGATGTGCTGACATCCTGAATGAGCCGATTTCATGCCCCAGTTCCTCACGCGTCCAGAGCCGATCGTCTTCCAGTAGTGCGAGAAACTACCTCTCGTGACCTCCGTCGGTGACGGAAAAGGATCGCGCAACGCGTGGGTCGTCTTCGATGCTGCCGCGAAGACTCCGCGGAATCGAGCTGCTCGCTTCTTCACGGTGCAAATGGCGATGGTACGCTCACCGATGGCCTTCATCAAAGCCGTACGAATATCAGATGCCAATGTCCCACGCAAAGTCTCACGCATAAATGTTCACTAACTCCCTCTGCTCGACTACGCTTGCAGACGTGATTACTTCCCGTACGGTATGACGTCATCACCGTGCGCATTACATCTCGTGAGAGATGTAATGCGCACGGTGATGACGTCATCGATCATGCACAGGAAGTACCCTGCTACACTCATGTCAACGTCGCAGTACTATACCTTTTGTAATGATTATCAATGGGCGTGGTAGCGCCCATTACCTTTCTTCAACCCCTTCCGGCGACGAAATTCAACCCTCTCGTATTCCTCTCTGAGAGCATCAACAGGAACGAAATTTGGCATACTTCTTCCTCTCTCAACACAGAATCGCGCCAGCAAATTTGAAACTCCATCTCCCCGGGATTCCAGAGATCACTGAATCTCGCTTTTGGGAGAAGTGAATTTCGTTCCGGTTTTTTTTTTCTTCCCCCCCCCCCTGGGTAGCCGCTCCTGGGAAGTTTTTGAAGGAAAGAGACCAACCAAACGAAAGATTGTCACCTGTAGGTGACAAAAGTGTCCTTTTTGTTGCTTCCAGTGCCCCATTTCGCCATGAAAAATGAAATTAGATGCCGTTAATTTAAGCTTTGCGAGATGGCTCCAGTCCCTGACTCCAGTGTTGCCGGATATCGTGCCTTAGTTATCCCAGATTCACGACTTTTTTGGCCTTAATATCGCTGTCTGGATCTCCTCTTTTTTAATCTAGGAGACATTATTGTGCTGAATTCATGGGATGAGCTGAGATAGAAGCGGTGGTTTGCAGTGGCCGATGAATTTGGTGGAATACGGAGATATCTCATCGGACATCCCTAAATTAACATGATGGCGTATGTCATGCTTTCTAAAGGAATTTTCTTCTCAGAACGAGTCAAGACGATTCGAGGAACTCCGGATAGGCCTAATGTACCCCGACTGCACTGAAACGATTCTTGGTTAATTGTTCGAAAATTTTTCGAAATCAATTGTTCGAGCGCAATTTTTCGAGAAAAAAAAGTTTTTCGAATGACACGTTTTTCGAACCAGAAGTTTTTCGAAATCACTCCTCACGAAGTCTTTTTTAGCCGGATCATTAGTATCCAATGTTGTGTGCAACTCCACGCAAGTAGTCACAAATGTTTATATTTTGATCCCAACCGCCAACAACCCGCCTCAACCTTTCTGCACAGTCCCGATATTTCTTCCGCTGACGAGGTGATTCCTGGCCACTAGTGTACTGCTCTATGCGTACTTCATTCAGGCTTTGCTCCTTCTTGATTCCAAAAATAAACTTCCAAATACTGGGGTGGCTTGCAGAGATCTGTTGCTGGAATCTTCAGTGCCATCCTTCGATGTTGTTATTAGTTTTGGGCAAATCCAGAAGCACGCCATCATAGCAGTTCCACATTCGATGCCCAAAAATTGGAGGACGGCGACCCTGACGACGGCCTGGACGCCCAATCCATATGTCCTCGAAGTAATTTATAACTGGCTGTGCTTCTTGGGGCAAAACATTGATGTCGCATAGAGCATCGAATGTGTCAAAGACTTCTGCAGTTGGAACAAAAGCCAGAGCGGGAAGCATGTGAAGCTTTAGAGAAAAATTGGCATCATTCTCGTACCGTTCCTTCAAGCCGTTTGTTTGTATTTTCCGCCAAATACACTGCAAAAATGGAAAAATAGCCACGATGAATTGCCTGTGGGTACTCACTGTTGACCGCATTTATCATTGACATCTCAAAGTCAGTCATAATAGTCCGAGGATCAGCAGCGGGCTCTAACTCCTTCACCTTCCTCAACAGACGGGCGTACGTTTCTTTCTTCTTGTCTCCCAGAAGTGCATACATCAGAGGCACGGAGTTGCTGGCTTCCATTCCATGAATGGTATACAACTGCTCAAATAGTGGCGGAACGGTCTTAAAAGTGCCATCGGCATACCAGTGCTCGGAACGTCCAAGAAGCCGCAAGTTTCTCTGAGTAGAAAATATGAGAATGCAGTCGTCTTGAGGTCCAGAGTCGTATAGTAGGAACGCTTCTCCTCTTTCAGTTTGCTTGTACTCCTCAGGAGACACAACATCACGACGGAAAACCGGGACAGCTGGTCCGGCATTTTCTTTCACCCGCACATTCCTTATTGTTCGTTTCATGTTCGACACACTAGGTTATTTTGCTGCAGCACCTTGACTGACTCCAATCGACGCGGCAGACCCAATATATGTTGGTGTATCGCGAGTGTTTCTTGTCGTATCACGGATATCCGTGAGCAGCATCCCCTACATCAGTGGTTCCCAATTTTTTGGTCACGACTCAAAATTCAACATCCAAACCCTGGGTTTGAGAACCCCTGCCCTACATGATTATGTTCACTCCTCTTACTCAAAACACCGTTGGCTTCCGCTATAACTCGCGCTCCGCTCTTTATACTTCGAAATCTTTCGCACTTCTAATAAACCTTTTCCTGCACTTGCTTGTCTTTGTATTAATAATATAAATGACCGTCAAGGAGCAGTTTACGCCTTCCTTTCTCACTACTCACAAAGTTCAACGCCATACCGACACTCTTGACACTCACACAGTAAGATTACAACTGAGGCGAGGATAGAAGCAGGACCCTATAGTGTACAGTAGAACAGAATAACGCTTTCCTGGATTTCAAGTCATTACCGAGATGTCATGCTTCCCAGGATAGCCAAGCTCAACTGTCAAACCTGTCAACTCTGGGATTGGGAATCTAGCTGTTTCAACTGAGGGAGATTTTCTAGGATTGCGTGCGAGACGGGCTATTTTCCCCTGTACTGTATCTTTGTATACAAAGATACAGTACTGGGTTTGCAGTATACTGCACTTCCCGGTAGAAGCGGGACTTAATAAAATAAATATTATGATTAATATTATTGTTCCCAAAATTTCGATTTCGAAAATTTGTTGTTTTGAAAATTAGTCATTCGAAAAATTGCTTTTCGAACAACTTGCTGGTCCCCATGTCTTGGCCTTACAGTGGCCTAGAAGGTGGTGGGCCAGTGCTGGCAAGTGGGGCATGCACCTGGAGGTCCACAATGTAGTAAAAGTAGTGGGCCACCAGCTCTCCTCTCCCAATACAACTGATGGCCCACTACTTATGTGCTACTTGGGGGAATCCAGGAATAAGGGTTGTGCCGCTCCTGCCGTTCCGCTTCTCGTCGCCGCCGATCACAGGACCCGTCGACGTCGTGTTCTAGGTGGGGGCGAGCCTATTCGCGAGTAACATCGGATCGGGCCATTTCGTGGGGTTGGCCGGAGGAGCAGCAGCACAGGGCATCGCCCTCTCCGCCTTCGAAATCAATGCCATGTTCGTGCTCATCATCCTCGGCTGGATCTTCGTACCCGTCTACATGTCCAGCGGCGTATTCACCATGCCCGAATATCTCAGGAAGAGATTCGGGAAACAACGCATCCGGGTCTATCTCTCCGTCCTCGCCATCCTCCTCTACATTTTCACCAAAATCTCTGTAAGTGCCTCGCGCTTCTGAGATATAGTGATTTTTTTTTTTGTCAAGGAAAGACTAGAACCCATCGCGTGTCGCAGGCGGATCTGTTCGCCGGGGCAGTCTTCATCGAGGAGAGCATCAAATGGGACATGTATTCGTCCGTCATAGTCCTACTCCTCCTCGCTGGGTTCTTCACCATCGGTGGAGGCTTGACGGCCGTCATCTGGACGGATTTCGTCCAGACGATCCTCATCCTCATCGGATGCATCATCCTCACCGTCCTCACCTTCATCAAAGTCGGCGGATACCAGGCGCTGGTGGAAAAATACTTCCACGCGATCGCAAACGAAACGTATATAGATCCGTTCTCGGGAAAGGAATGCAATTCTCCTCCTGAATATGCCATGCACATCTTCCGAGATCCGAGCCCCGGTGCATCAGATCTCCCCTGGACGGGTCTCATCTTCGGCCTCACCGTCTCTGCCGTCTGGTATTGGTGTTCCGATCAGGTACCACTTCGCAGATCGCACCCATTTCTCTCTCTCTCTCTCTCTCTCTCACCCACCGTTCCTCACTCCCGTTTCGATGCGGATCCACAGGTGATCGTCCAGCGGGCCCTAGCCGCCAGAGACATGACCCACGCCAAGAGCGGGTGCATCTTCGCCGCTTACTTGAAATTTCTGCCTATGTTTCTTCTCATCTTTCCCGGCATGGCCGCTCGCGTCATCTTTCCCGATGTGATCGGCTGTTCCAACCCGGATCTGTGCGAGTCCTACTGCGGGAATCGGAACGGTTGCTTCAACAGCGCCTACCCCAAACTCGTGGTCGAAATCATGCCGCACGGATTGAGGGGTCTCATGCTCTCAGTCATGTTGGCATCCCTCATGAGTTCCCTCACGTCTATCTTCAACTCTTCTTCCACCATCTTCAGCATCGACATCTGGCGAAGGATCCGAAGGAATGCCTCGGACGTGGAACTCCTTGTCGTCGGAAGGTCAGTCGTCGTTTCGTTCTGAAGAGATTCATTTTCCTCGTCGGCTTTCGCGAGCGGACGTGAACCGCGTCTGCACCCTCAGGTGTTTCGTGGTGGTGTTGGTGGCCGTGAGCATCGCGTGGTTGCCCATCATCCAGGCGTCCAAGGGATCGGGTCTCTTCGACTATATCCAGAGCATCACGTCCTTCCTGGCTCCACCCGTCTGTGCCGTTTACGTGCTGGCCATCCTGTGGGACCGCATCAACGAACCCGGTGCCTTCTGGGGTCTCATGTTTGGACTCTTCGTCGGCATCATCAGATTCGTCCTCGAGTTCGTCTATCCTCCTCCCACCTGCGGTAAGGCTTTATCCTTGATCTTCTCGTACGTCAACCGCTACTCTAAATATGCAGAACGGAAGCAAAAGGAGCATCTAGCCATCGATACTAACAATGATTCCAATGCATTTTATCGATGTCTGCGTCAAGAAACAACATTCGGTAGGACCCCAAAGGCAGTGGTTCCCAATCCTTTTTCACTGGTGGCAGCCTTTGAATTCCTTTCAAATTCCCTGGGGGCTGCTCGGAGGTGGGAAGGGAAGGAGAGTGTGTTGTTGATGGGAAAATTTGCTGTTCGGACTTATTGAAACCTCGCAGCACACTTGAGAATCCCCCTTTTTTTCTTAAGGATATATTCACGCTGACTTGCTAACCAATCGATTGTCATTCACTGACAAGCGTCGGGTTGCTTTGCATGGCCTTGGGGCTTTGCGGGGAGTGGGGGGGGGGGGGGGGCAGAGCAACAAAATCTCGTTGGTTAATGAAGCAGATAAGATATTCCAATTCAGTGAAAGGCTGGTGAAAATTGCAAAAATTGAATTATTTCACAAAGTTACTTATTTATAGTGAAAGTTCAGTTTTCTGTAATCTCTGCATAATTTGAACTTTCCGCGTTTTGGCTGAAATTCTGATTAAAATGTCAGCTTTTCAGCGTAAGTGAATGACTCTATGAAAGAGTTCTTTGCTTCTACGTTTACGAGAGAGTGCGATGAGATACCAACAATGACGGAGTTCCTTTTTAAGAAAAGAAAAAGGTAAGACATCCGACGGGCACATAGGACAACGGACGTATAAATTGCACGAGTCGACTTTACTGCTCCCTGACGATGTGATTGATTTTTCTGAAGCGAATTGTAATGGGGCAGGCAATAATAATACCATATCTGATATTACGATGTGATCTTTATTTAGATATGATTGAAAATGACAAGTTATATAAAACTGCAACTTTTTTTGAGCTGTCCAATACTTACTTGGCAGCCATGGACACCTGGAATCAGCCTTTTGCAACAGTTGTTGATACTGGGAATGGAAGGAAAACCACCAACACAGCCCCTATGAAAAACTCTTCTGACGATTCCAATCCACTAGCTTAGGAAACGTTGCAGGAAATAGGACGATGACGTCATGTTTCGGAGCCTCATGGGGTATTACGTTTCCTCCTTCCTACACAAAATATGCTGCATGCACGAGATTCAAATCGACTGATGACTGATTGCAGGATGTGGAATCCATCCGGCACCCCAAAGATGTCTACGTCTTAGTAATCAATTAATACGTAAATAAGCTCTGCGAAGAAAAAAGTCATATACCATGCCACAAGTCCATGCTTCTTTCCATCAGAGGAAAAATAACAAAAGCGGAGTTTTTGAGGAATGAATTTGATCTTTGATCCATATTTAGGAAAGGGTCAAAGTTGTAAATTATTAAATTAACCATGCATTTTTAATTGGCACAAAACTATACTTGCATGTATGTACGAGGGGCAGTTAAATGAAAACGGGACATGGGGTGAATCACACACAACCGAGAATGCCCCGTTTTCATATGACTGCCCCTCGTAGGTTCAGAAAATACTATTTTTTTTTATATTTAAGACATAATTCATTTTTTATTCAAATGAAATCTTCCATATTGGACATCTTGAAGTCCTATGTGAGCTTTGCGCTACCCCATTTGTCTCCCTAAATGGAAAGCGGTAGGGTTTCCTTGGGCTAGTCTCCGAGGAAATTGGCCGATCGGATTAAGTGGGAGGCTCTGAGAGATGAAGATGTAAGGAGAAAGTTTGCAGATGACATATCAGAGAGGTTTAAATGAGTTACCCAGCCAGATCTCAGACATCGAGACGGAGTGAGAGCTGTTCAAAACAGTCATAATTGCTTCGGCCTAATCCTGCTGTGGGCGTAAGAGGCTTGGGGTGGCGACTGGCGGTGAGAAAAGGTAAGAAAAGGACTCCTTGGTGGAATCAAGAAGTTCAAGAAGCCTTCAGAGCAAAGAAGAAAGCTTATTTGGCTTGGCTTTCCAATAAGTCCTCGTCTTCTGTGCGTGTTCGGTTCACCGAGGCTCGAAAAGCTGCAGCAAAGACTGCGAAGGCTAAGGCTTGGGAATCTTTTGGAGAGAAGCTGAACTCTGACTACCGATCGGCAAACAAGGTATTCTGGCAGACCATCCGCCGTCTTCGAGGGAGAAAATCAAGTACTGCCCGAACCATTAAAAGTTGGGATAGGAACCTTCTCACCCGAGAAGCAGATATCTTTCAGATATGGAGTGAAAACTTTGAAGCTCTCCTTAACCCAGTCTCTGCTCATACTGATGACACTCACGATATGCATGTTGGGGCGGAAACTAGTCTCACAATCGGACGAAATCATAACAGCGATTAAGTCGCTAAAAAAATAATGGCAAGGCTGCTGGTGAAGATGAAATCCGACCTGAGGTGATAAAGGCTTTAAATTGAGATGATATTCTTTGGTTGACTCGGATGTGTCAGGTTGCATGGAACTCTGGTAGAGCACCGAAGCAGTGGCAGACCGGTTATCCCCATTTTCAAAAAAGGGGATCAGAGAGACTGCAATAATTATCGGGCATCTCTCTGCTCAGCCTTCCTGGAATAGTCTATGATAAGTTCCTCGAAAGAATAAGTCGAGAGGTTGTAGAGTCCAAATTCCAAAACGAGCAGTTTGGTTTCCGTCCTGGCCGTAGCAGAGTGGATCAGATTTTCACCCTCCGTCAAATCTTCGAGAAATGCTGGGAGTATGCCCTAAAGGTGTATGCGTGCTTCATAGACCTCGAAAAGGCTTACGACCGTGTTCCTCGGGCTAGGTTATGTATTGCAGGATTATGGGGTGGATGGTCAGCTACTGGCTGCTATTAAATCTCTATATGATTGCTCTGAGGTCTGTGTCCGAGTAAATGGTGTTAAATCGAGTCCTTTCAGCGTGGGTGTTGGACTCCGTCAAGGGTGTGTACTGTCACCTCACCTTTTCATAATCTTTATGGATTGTACCAGCAGACGCAGCCCAAGGCAGTGAGTGTGTCGGAATAGGGATGTCCAAATAAGTCATTTGCTTTTCGCAGATGATCTTGTTCTGTTGGCATCCTCCGAGGTTGACCTCCAGCAGGCACTAGACATGTTCGCAACCGCATGCGATAAGGCTGAGATGAATATCAGCGTCCCTAGTAGCACATAACATTGAATCAACATTGATTCAACATCCGGATGTTGAACAACATTGAATCCATGTCGTTTCAATGTTATGTGCTACCAGGGGTGGCCAAAACCGAGTCTTTCGTCCTCTCTAGACAGCCTACTCAATGCACTCAGCATGTCAGTGGAATCCTATTGAGGCAGGTGGAGAAGTTCAAATATCTCGGGGTAGCATTCACGAGTGACTGTTGGCAGGATGTGGAACTAGACACACGGATCGGTCAAGCAAGCACAGTACAGGAAGTCCTCGATTTACGTCGTTCCGAGACGTAAATCGAGGACTTACTGCAATGCGTGAGCTAAACCGATCTGAGGTAATGAGGAAGGAACTTGGCACAAAGGCAAACCTCTCTCTTCAAGTCCTACACTCCTCTCCTCACCTATGATCATGAGTATTGGGTAATGACCGAAAGAGTGCGATCGCGAATACCAGGGGCTGAGATGAGATTCCTACGAAGGATTGCTGACGTAACGAGACTACAAGTATCGGAACATAGAAACCCGGGAATCACTTGGGTGTGAAATTCTTCTCCAAATTGTGAGATCACAATTATGATGGTACGGGCACGTGGTCAGGATGCCACTCAAGAGACTTGCAAGGCAAGTCCTCACTGCTAAGCTAAAGGGAAAGAGACTAAGGGGTAGACCTAGGACTAGGTGGTCAGAATACTGTATACTGAAGACCTGGCATGGTCACGTCTTGAAATCCACCCAGAAGAACTTGTCAAATTGACGGAGGACCGGAGCCATTGGAAGATTCTCCTGAAGCTGCTGCCCCCGCAACCCGAAAGGAATAGCGGGCATTGAAGACGATGTATGGATTCAAATAAAATATTTAGATGACATAACAATTCGAAAAAAAACCTGACAATACCGACTATTTGCTGTATAGACCTGTCTATGTGTATCTCTAAGGCTAAGTACGATGAAGCCACCTGTAAGAAGTATCCAACGACCCGCTATTATGCGATACTGTAAAAGCTGCATTCCATCATATTCGATGTTTTACGATGCACGTGCGAGAATAAAATCTACTCACTATGCCACTGCACGTTTCTCATTGCCTTGAAATCATGAGAACGAAAAAAGCAGTGCATTGGACTATATTCCATCGCAGTAATCGGTCATCCCAATAGAGCTATCGACTTATTTATCGACTACAGTTTTCTTCTTGCTTAAGGTGAGGCCATAGTACGGTGTATTTTGTTTCAGGGACGCTAGTGGTCCTTTAAGAACTTTGTTATCGTTGGGGAAAAGGTTAAAGTTAATGCTTTTGGGGGTAGAGAGCATTAGGTTTGACTTTGCCTGCCTCCGGGTCAGCTTCTGGAATCATCTGTCTGGGGTCGGTCGAAAATTCCATGACAAAGAATGTCTCTTCCCCCAACCCAACCTACCCCTGAGTCTCCTGTAAAAATTACGACCTTAGGTCCCTGCGGCACATTGTCCTGCTTTGAAGATTACCAACTCACAGGCCATAAAATAATCACGCCTTCCATTCTTATTAAAAACGGTGATAGAGTATTTATTAGCCAATTTCAGGAAGGAGTGACTCCGAAGGTGGCTTGTTACTGAGTGACAACTAAGAATAAGTAACCTTTTCAGCCATGGTACCGGCTGGGTCCTTCCAAATTACGCAAGCACTACATAGTTATCAACAGTATAGATGAAGCAATTAAATGAAACAGAGTGAAATTTTTGAGCTCAACCTGTATGGTCGCATTTCGCATTGAAACCCAAAGTCGAGTATTGAATCATCTCATTAAAATGTATGAACGCGACTACGCACATGCTAAAATAAAGTGACATCGAAAATTTCACTTCGGCAGATAAAAGGGGGAGGTTTTGCTCCATGATAAACGATGTAGGTCATCACTCGATCATAGGGCATGGTGATCCGGGGGGCGGGGGCCCCCCCCCGGCTTTCCTTAAAACCTTGAATTTTTGCGAAGGAAATTGGTTTAGTCCAGCACTGGACTAGTCCTCTTCCCTACATCCTTTGAAATGCAACCGCTACTTTATGGCCTTGTTGACTCATAAGCAGGAAGGGAGTGGTTACGAGTAAATGGGGTTCCCATCAAATTGGAAACTTGGAAACCTTCACTTTACATTATTATTCATCTCGAGGGTTCAGGTCAGTAATGGATTCACTGGATTGACAGGAAGTACAGCCGCAGTGTTTTGAGAGGAATATTCTAACCAAACGGTTGACCAATTCAACGGATGTGCTTCCAAGGTATTTGGTGGGGAAATAATAAAAGTCAACAACTTTCCTTATCTGCTCCTGCAGTGTCACAAGGTTTTTTTTTTTTGGAAAGAGGATCGGCCACTCTATTGAGCCTCCAGAAATATTATTGGCGTTCTCTTACTTCTCACAAAGTCGAGGCCATGCTCGTTTCCACAAAGTATTACAAAAAATGTGTACAACAAATGCAATAATAATTTTCAAAAAAACTTCCTTGGAACAAACCATTGTTGGAACACTGATGAATGAACATATGATCTGATATTAATAGTGCTTCAATAATGAGTAAGTGAGTTAAGTATGGAGTTTTTATTTATTTATTTATTCAAGATAATGCAGTTCACACACCAATCAATGAACGGAATAATGAAAGGACTTCTCTGATCAAAATAAACCTAACGGCACCATTCCAACCACAAGATGCGTGGGGGGGGGGGGGGGTTCTGGAATAAGTACGGCCTCCTCGGGAAACAANGAACTATCCCGCTTTTCCGTGCGAAAAACACGCCTTTTATTACAGGGTGTAGGAAAAGTCACTGACGATTTTATTATTTAAGTAAGGCAGGACAAAATAGAAGGAAAGCTTTGTCTGATGTCTAATTTTGAATTGATCGTTATGGACAATCAGATCATATAGAGGGCTCCATAATCGAGTCACCTGGTCATCTTGTTTCTTTCGTGATCCATTTAGCTTGGTGACTAAGTAGTACTTTCTTATTTTTTCTTTAGGTTGGTCAAAGTAAGGTTTATTTTTCCCCAAGTGAAAAACAAAGATATAATGTGTAGTGAGAAGAAGAATAATATTCAACAGAAGCATATTAGGGCGGGTTGATCCAAACAGCATTTCTTCACTGGAAAGGGTAGTTTGATACTCGTCAAAACCGCTGTTGATAAGACAGTTTTTAAGATCTGACCATGTTTCGACTGAAGAAGCGCAGTCGAGGGTTAAGGATTATGGGTTAGGGTGTGGATTTCCTGACAAAAGGGGCAGGACGAGACGACGGAGAGTCAACGAGGTGGCATAAGTATAGGAGGCGAAAGGTGAGCAGCACCCTGTAGATTAACCTAAATTGAAAGAATCCTAGTTGAGGCAGTTTTGTTATCGAATGAACTGTGCGAAATTGGTCTCGCCAGTAAGTATCTGGGTCATCGCCAGTAAGTATCAAGTCTGCTCGAACATCATGCAGATGAAGGACGGGAAAGCTACCTGAATTGGATAGCATCCCGGCAGAGCTTCATAAAAATCTAGCTGATGACCAGAATTCTTAATGAGAGGATTTTGGTCTGAGTCTTCACACATATCCTCAACAGAGGTCAGCATGTTCACTAGTATTTTGAAGAAAAGTCTCATCGCCCATATCTAAAAGGCAAAAAGGATCAGGGAGACCAAAGCAACTGCAGAGGGGTCGCTCTCCTTCCTGTATTCAGCAAAATCCTGAATGATCGGCTGTCGGACTAGACTTGAAACAAAGAGATCTTGACTGTACACCAATTTGGTATTAAATCAGGAAGAGAAACATTTGACTGTGCTCTTGATCTTACAAAAATAAATAAATAAGGAGAGAGAAGCTGAGGTCCAAATGATTCTCCGTTGCATAGGATTCGGTCATGCATGGCTGAAGTACCTGCCCGCAAATTTGAGGAAAGCAGCTAGGAATGGATGAGGAGGAGTGAGTGTGAGAGTGAGTAACGATGCTCTTCCAAAATGACTTCTACAGTAAAGGAATGAGTTGGCGCGGTTTATTGCCAACATCCTTACAGCTTGGAGCGTCTATTTAGATTTCGCGAAAGCTTTCGATACCGTTCCTCACAATTTGCGGGCAGGTACTTCAGCCATGCATGACCGAATCCTATGCAACGGAGAATCATTTGGACCTCAGCTTCTCTCTCCTTATTTATTTATTTTTGTAAGATCAAGAGCACAGTCAAATGTTTCTCTTCCTGATTTAATACCAAATTGGTGTACAGTCAAGATCTCTTTGTTTCAAGTCTAGTCCGACAGCCGATCATTCAGGATTTTGCTGAATACAGGAAGGAGAGCGACCCCTCTGCAGTTGCTTTGGTCTCCCTGATCCTTTTTGCCTTTTAGATATGGGCGATGAGACTTTTCTTCAAAATACTAGTGAACATGCTGACCTCTGTTGAGGATATGTGTGAAGACTCAGACCAAAATCCTCTCATTAAGAATTCTGGTCATCAGCTAGATTTTTATGAAGCTCTGCCGGG